CTTTTCCTTAATTCATAGAGAGAGATGTATTTGTTTGGTCGAATGTGCTAGGGTTTGCTCTGCATGCAGTTGCCGGTCGATGTCTTAATCTGCTTTGTCAAATATTTGCAGATGGATCGATGTGTTTGTTCTTGACGTTTGATTGCTTTAGAATCGTAAGGAATGCATCTTGCGTGCTCGAATTTCCGTTCACAGCTGTCTTAGGTATACTCAGTCAATCTGGCTTGATGTTCATAGGGTTGCTTGTTGCTGGTTTAATCTGAATATTATAATTGCTAGTACAAGAACGATTCTGTGGAGTTGGATGGTATTGGTTTATGAAGGAAAAAAATATAGAATATGTTGGAATGAGTGATTTTTAGTCGCAGCATGTTTCTGAATTAGGCAATTCTTATTTAAGGCGGTTTAATGTGCCAGACTTACTTAGGTCAATACGGAGTGTTGTTATTGTTGTTGTTGTTGTCAATGCACAAGACCACCAATCTGGGGTCCAGAATGGATCGATGTACCCAACCATACCCTTGAAAAAGAGAAATTGTTTTCATGAACTTAATTTCTAGCCATCCTGGTCGCAAGCGAGCAACCATGCTGTGACATTAAGGGTTGGTTTAAATGAAAGATAATCAATTACCTGTGATCGATTCCATTTTGCTTCTGTGGATCCCTCTTCCCTTTGAACGCATGTGTAAATGGTAGCTGTCAGAGTAGGACATAGCTTCATTAATAAAAGGTGCTTCAGGTTGAACTTCAACTTAGTGTTTTTTCTTTGGTGACGTGTTTATATACTGCCTGTGGTTTAGAAATGTAATAGAATTATGGAATTGGAACATGGCCATAAGCTATGTTACTATTTCTTTTGCCATCTCCCCTATTTGAAAACCTATGTAGCACAGGATTTTGTTAAATTACTTTTATAACAAACCAAATTATCCTTTTCCTGTAATCAGAAATATTTTGTTTATTTTTATGCAGAAATTCTAAGGTATACATTGACGCACCCAACACAATGATTAGAAACTTAACTACTCTCATCCAGTCTGATTCTTTTGAATGAGGCATTTTGTACTAGCTATAGATAAGATGAATATCGTGGTGATTGTTGATAATGGCCAAAGAAATCTCAATTTTTGAGTTACATATGCCCAATTTGGATTTCAGAGATCTAAAATGTTTCAAAACTCTATTTGGAGTACATCTGTGTCTTTTTTTACATCGACCCTATTTTCCTGCATGGTAGTTTAACATGTTCCTGATGTTTATGATTATATCTTTTTCCATGTGGAGTTTCATCGGTTTTTCAAACATATATCTATGATTCACTCATCTTTACTATATATCTTTATTCGTATATTCCTTTCTGGAAACCACATTGAGAATAAGTGTTGCTTGTTGGTTCTGAGGAAGGTGAGAGTCAAGTTAAAACATTCAAGCAGATGGAACAAGCAATCCAGGAGGCAGAGCTAAAACAATTAAAATCTGGCAAACTCCGCTTACGGAAAAGTTTAGATTGGGATAGAGACTTTTTTACAAGTGAAGGTATGGACTTTTTTGTTATTCCAAGACTTCCATATGTTGAACTGGAATTTATAAGCTTACCAGATCTTATTTCTTATTCACAGGAGTTCTGAATCATGAAGAACTGGCCACTTTAAACAGCACATTCAAGAAGACTGAAGCATATTCACTTCCTACAATTCTGGAAGATGCAAGGAGAAAAGCAGAGTCAAACTCAACTTTAGATAATGATAGTTGGGCTCTGGAAAATCTTGAAGTAGATTTGTTCGAAAATGTAGGAGCTTGCAAACAGAAGGCTCTTGTTAACGGTGAAAAGGCATTGAGCTTGCTACATTCCAGCAAGAAAAACAATCCAGTGAAGGAAGATGAACAGCCCCATGGATGTAAGGACGTTCAACTTGTTAAAACTTTGAAACACTAGGATTCACCTTTGTATGGTGGTTGAAGTTAGCTGTAGGAAATCAGACTTCGTTTTCATCTTAGTGTCGTTTCACTGTTTTTGGTGTTATTGCTATTATTCTAAATGAGTCATTATACTGTTTTGCAGCATCAGTGAAATTTGAACCATTTTCTCACATTAAGGTATGCTTTTATTAACAATCATCTTGCTGTTTTGTATCATTGATGTACATAAATTTTCAAGAACTTGTGTTATGTCAGAACAAGTCTCTCATGCCATCGGAAAGACAAGGTGTTAACCGCCATCTCCATAAGCATAATTCTGGAGGGGCCACTGTTGTTACAAATGTGGTATGAACATACTATATATTCATTTACTTTGGCTCTAAAATTCTTTCACATAAGTTTCTAATCTTATTATTATACAAAGAAATCAAAACATTTGTTGACTAAATTTTCCATTTAATACTTTAACAAAGGCTACTGATAGAACTACTCGTTCAAAGACTCTGTCAAAGCCAACAAGAGTTTTGTCTGGGGCAACTATGCCATCAATGCCAGCAAAGACAAGATTTTTTCCTGAAAACACCCAAATAAGAATTAGTAATACGAAAGATAAACCAGGTATATTTTCAAAATAATTTCTCAGGCATCTTTAGTCAACACAATTGAGTATATATATTCTGCTTTGGAACTCGGTTCTTATTTAGGTGGGGATTTGGCAGGCAATGTGTTATTGCATAAATCTAGTATCGTCTCAAAAAAAATAAATGAAGGCCCTTCCAGTGGCAATTCTAAGTCCTTCCAATCATCAAAATCTACTTTGAAGTTGGTCAGCAATTCATCGGACAAAGAAAAATCTCCTTTGAAGATAACAGGGATGACAAGCACATCTAGAACTATCAGTTGCCCTTCTTCATCTGGATCAATCACTAAGAAGGCATCTCCCAGGACAGGCGGAATAATTATCCGCAGAAATGCAAGTGATCCTGCAATATTCCCAAACTCTGCTGTCAACTTATCTTCAAGTACTTCTCCAAGTAGTTCCTTTGACAGTGTTGCTGCAGGATCATCATCGCCAACCCTTTTTGCTACTGAAGTCAGTTCATCATCCCCATTGTTGGAAGGCACTGATAATGACAAAGTTTGCTCACCAAGTCTTAAATCATGCAAATATGGTGGAAACCAACTATGCAGACTGCGTAGTACTGGAAGTTCTTTGTATGATGAACTAACATCTGAAGCATCAAGAAGGAATCATCCAAGAAGCTTCACTAATAAGAGCTCCGAAGCAAAATGCTATGGATCTTCAGCAGTATGTGCTTAATCATACTCTCCTGTAGTTCCTTTCATTACTTTTATTTGTCTCTAACTTGGACTATATATTGGATTTGCAGAAGAAAACACTAACCTCACAGACTTGCAACAAGCAGCCCAATTTCCCGAAAGCTACCATTGGAACCTCTAAGACTGATTCAGTGAACAAAGGAAAACCCAGTAAGATACAAGATACCACACTTGCTACTCAGAACAAGACCATCACTTCTGATTCTCGGCAAACTCAATCTACTGCTCGTAAGTACAGAATCCTGATCTCTTAAACAACTACCAAAGCATGTTGAGTAGAATGACTTTACTGGCATGTCAGAAGCAGTCTGAATTATGCCCTACTGGCATGCCACTGGCTGTGGATTTCTGCCTTTTGAAAAATGATACCAATCAAGTTTTTTTAAGTAGCAAAAGAAGTCATCAGTAAAGCTCTAAAATCAAGTGCAAAGAGGCAAGGTAGTGATCTGCATCCAAAGCATACAGTAAATGTTCCTGAGAAAGTTGAAGTGATGAATTTGATCGGCAAAGTTCCGACATAATTAGGAAACACTTTGATTGATGGAAGCAATGCTTTCTTTCTTCTTTGGGTGAATGGTAACATATAATCAGGAAAATTATCACTGGGTTCACCTGCCATGAACATGGGAGAACGAAATCATTCTTCCTGCAGAATGAACAGATAGCCTGAGCAAATAGTTCACCTAATAGCAATAGGGAAAGAAACAGGAGAAAAGTACTCCTGTTTTTAACTTTCGATGAGAAGGAATTGGGTCTTGAACATTCGGCATTTTCAGAATCATCTGTCATACTGTTCACTGATCTAAGCTGAAGGTTTCATCATGTTCTGGAAAAAATAAGGGAGATTTTTTGCAGTGTATGTGTATTATATCTACCTTGTGCTGACCAAATTTCTTTCTCAAAGTGAAAGAATAGATTCATGTATTAGTTACTTGACAACTATAGCTTTGACACTAAGTTAACTATAAACGAAAGAGTTGTGGCACTTAATTACAAGAAAATAAAATAGTCAACAGCTTTTGCCAGTAGTGATGTTTGACATAAGGCTTTGTTTTCCTCTGGTCAATTCACATTATACTATAAAGCTTTGTTTTCATCTTTTAAGTTCTAATGTTTAAAAACTGACTTGCTCTTAATTAGCTCAAATAATGTATATATTATGACTTCCTGTATAATATACATCTTCCATTTTTATTTTTACTTGATTTTAATGTCTTAGATATGCTAAGAAACAGAGTTAATTGTAAATTATCTCTTGTAATTAATTATCTTTAGCATATTGATTCCTACACTGAAATCTCTATACTTACGAAAGTAAAACATTAAGTTCTTTATATAGGGTAAAAAAATAATTTTATAAAATTAAAAATAAGAAAGAGAGAAATGTTTCGTTGGAGCAACGGGTAAAACATTCCCTTAAGTATAGGGATCTGTAGCTTTGAAAGTATAGGGAGAAGGATACCAAAGACATCTAATTATAAGGGCTAATATGTAATTAGCCCTTAAGTTATTGATAAAGAATACTTTAGTATGATCAAAAGGCGAAATCACGTTACCTCACCAAATTAGATCCAAGAACCCAACCCAACAAAAGATGGGCCTTGGACCGGTCGCCAGCATGGAGCCTCGAACGAGTTAATTGGACCAGAATGCAACATTTCGGCAAAATGGACCGGTACCGGTCCAAGAAAACCGCTCGTTGAAGAACCGGCCTTTCTTTGTAAGGGCTGGAAGTTTGGTCTCCCCCAACGAGGCGGTCTGAAGAAGGCAACGAGGCAAAGCGGGGCGAAACCCCACCCCCCGGAGCTTACGGATCGCCGTGATGGCCAAAGAGTTCTCCGTTCCGCCGGTGGTTTTCCCCTCCTCCGCCGGGAACCCTAACGTCCCCCAGCAGCGCCGTGCGCCTGGGGCGGCGCCTTTCCAGCCGCCGCGGCCCTCGAACCCGGGCCCCGCCAACCCGAGCCTCCCCTTCATGTCCTTCGACGTCGGATCCGCCCCGGCCTCGTCCTCCTTCTCAGCCCCCGTATTTGCTCCCGCCGCCGGCGAGGGCTTCTCCGTCTCCGGCTCTTTCGATGACGAGCCGCCCCTCCTTGAGGAGCTGGGCATCAATACCCGACAGATCTGGCGCAAGACCATCTCGATCTTGAATCCCTTCCGCGTGAACCCTGATCTCCACGAGGACGCCGACCTCTCCGGCCCCTTCCTCTTCCTCATGGCATTCGGGCTCTTCCAGCTTCTGGCCGGAAAGTTCCACTTCGGTATCATCTTGGGATGGGTCACCGTCGCGGCATTCTTTCTCTACATCGTCTTCAATATGCTCGCGGGGCGGAACGGGAACTTGGATTTGTACCGGTGCTTGAGCCTGATTGGATACTGTATGCTGCCGATGGTGATCTTCTCGGCGCTGTCGCTCTTTGTGCCCCATGGTGGCGTTGTGATCTTTCTGATGGCAGCGGTATTCGTGTTGTGGTCTGCGAGAGTGTGCACGGCGCTTCTGGTGGAATTGGCATCCTGCGGGGATGAGCACCGTGGTCTCATAGCCTACGCTTGCTGGCTCGTTTACATGCTCTTTTCTCTGCTAATTTTGTTCTAATTCTTGGTGAGAGTTCTCAGCTTTGTGGTTTCTTACTATAGCTTCTAACTTGATATAACCTTGCCTGTCAATCTCCAATTTGGTTGTGAAGATATTTGATTGATTGTTGGTTATTGTTTGTTCATTAGTTACTTTCGGTTAGCTAATTGGATCCATTAAGGATGTTCTTCTTTCCATGTATGTTAACATTTTTGCAACTGTGAGGTTAAGACCTAAGTTTCCTTAAACTAAATATAATATGCGAATTGCAACTTTATATTAATATATATTAGAAAGATTTCCTTTTGTTACTATTGTTCTTGCTTATCCATTTAAGTTTGTGAATGACTTTCTTAATTGGGGTTTGGAAGTATATGTTTAGAACCACTGCACTAGTAAATGAATCAGCCATTGAAATTTTTATGATGAATTATATGTGTCAAGAAGCAATTCATCGTCACATCAGATTCATGTCCTTAGTTTGGTTTCTGCTGGGAAATCAACTGTTTTACTTAGAAATATAATCTGGCATATATGAGTCACAGGAGTTCAAATTATGATTTCGAAGATGGTCTTTTAAGATTTTCCAGAGTGTAGCTTTTTTGTCCAATTGTTTGGATGATATGTATGATAAATTACATCTTTTGTACAAGTCATCTAGCAGATAAGTACTGCTTTAAGTGTCTAGATTAAGTCAACGGTTGAGCACTTCATCTGATCTTTCATGGGAAAGGTTATACACGAGAGACAAAAATTGTTTGCACAATGCAAGAGGGTAGCCTAGGTAGGATTGATCTTCTAACTCACACTACACTGAGCGATATCATTTTATAGTATTCTGTTTCAGCGTAACACTATTTTATGGTGCTTTGCCTGTTGAGGTAGCAGTTTGATAGTAATTATGCTTGTGAAAATAAAAATCTGAACCCAATGATAGTCTTGTGCTATGGAACCACATCAACTCTTCTGGTTAGATCTCCTCTATGATCATTTACTTGATTAAATGTAACAATTATGATGCATCAAATTTTATGGTAGTCTCTTGAAAGAGTAGTCATTGTGGTTTCCTTTTTGTTGTTGATTCTAAGGTCATCTTAGTTTTTTTATATCTGATCCAACTCTTTAAACCCTCTGAAGATTACAAAAAGTGTCTTAACCTGGTACCACAGTCCATCCAGGATATGTGATCCTCGGGACCAATGTCTTGCACTATGTTATCATGGTTGGCATGGTGCTTCATCTAGAATTTTCTCCTTTTGCAGCCATAAATAATATCATCCTTCATGGCTTTTAAATTTGAGCATCCTGGAGCGCTACCTACTCCTGGAACAGTGTGGTCATCTTATGATTCTTAATTCTCTCCAATAAGCACCTGTTCTTATCTTCAGTTATCTGGGTCTGTGATAGCTCTAGATTTTATGGTAGTCTGGGTCATCATGGAGCACTATCTGGGTCTCAGGTCATCACCCCATTGGTCAGGCCTAAATTCCTCAGAGACAATATAGGATAAGTGTTGTGACCCACATGAGAGTAGGTTTTGGTTGTAAAATATCTTGTGTTAGAAGCCTTCAATTTTTGTATCTTTTCCTCGAGAGTAAAGTGCAAAGGGAAAACACATTTGTGAAGCAAGTCAATGACACATTGGGAAGAACAATTAGAGAGCTCAATGCCAAGGACATCAACATGTCTAAGTGATTGTCAAACTGCCAAACCAGAGAACCATTTCTTCTTGGCACATGGACTAAAGTTTGGCTTCTCATCATTTTCCTGGTAAGGAGGAAGCCTTTTTTTTTTTCTTTTCCTTTCTGTAGTAGGAGACAACGGTGAGAAGGGAGTAGGAGAGTTGACGTTGGGTACCTAGATGCAGTTGATCTCCAAATTCTGCTTCAATTGCCATTTATGTTGATGTCGAGTGACAGCCATGTGACTGTTTCTGTTGGTTCTATTTGATGGACCTGAGTAGAATAATCAATTCCAAAAATTCTACATGTTTGATTGTTGAAATTCAACGTTCAAACATGGGGCTCTGCAGCTTCCATTTATTGTAAAGATGAAGGGTAGTCCATTCAATTTATCTCTTAGTGGATTAGAGTTGTTTGCCTCGTGAATTAAACTGGAATGTGGTCTAAATATTTTTTCCTTTGGTGACCCAAATATGAATAGAAATACAAAGTGCTTGGTTAAGGTTATTTAATGCATCAAAGAAACAAAGAACATCAATTTTATCAGGCTGCCTCTTGTTGTTCCACTTTTTGTACCTGAAAATATCTTGACGTATCCTTTTTGTACTTATTTTCTTCTTCTACTTTTGTCTACTGCTGAGACAGCATCCTTTAAGATATTTTCCAGCCTTTGATCTGTATGAACACAATCATTTCCATTCATACAGATTATTCATTCTAATACTAGTGTCAGCCTTTGATCTGTATGAAGTTATAATCTCGGAGTTCGGACATTGTATCATGGCATTATCTTGAGATTATTTTGGGTGCAAGAATCCTCTTCCACATGGAGCTCCCACATCATACATATTCATCTTCCATTAAATTGACATTGAATTTGTTGCTTCTTTGTTGGGCTTTCCGTTATGCGTGTTGCAAATGTAATGCAGTTGCATGCATCTATGCGTAGTATCAGCAAGCATTTGCATGATAGTCAAACAACCAGGTGAAGAGTGGGACTTAATTTCTCAGTCTGCATTGCTTATTAAAGGAATATTGTTCTCTGTACTGGCCTGTCTTTGGCCCTGCTGGTCTCTATTGTTTTTCCCCTTTTTATTTGCTTAAAAAGGTATAGATTTTTTCTGCCTTTAAATCTCATTCCTCTTCAACATATTTAGAACCACGTCATCGAATGGTTATATGATTTTGGCTAGTATTTCTTTATTACAACAGAATCACTCATAACTTGATTTTCATTCCCCGAATGTTTTGGTGCGTGTGAGCTGAATCAGTGTTCATTCTACAGCATCTCATTATGCTAATTTACTCGTCTACAATTTGATGTTAAGCAGTGGCAGGGGATCAAAACAGCTACATCTTCCATGCCATTTTTGTAGTTGAAGAAGGAATTGAGAAATGTCTACCAGGTCTGGCTAGTGTACACAGATTGATTTGCTCGACTCAGATGGGTGAAAGGTGAGCAATTTTTACAAGTTTCTACTGTGGAATCTTGCATCATCAATTTCGACATTGTTAGCTACCAAATCAGGACTAATAGATCGCTTAGCATGCAAATGGCGCTAAGTCTTGTTTGTTAGTTGTTCCGTGGACATCTTGAAGCTTGCTTATGTTGGTTACCTGTTGCTCTGATATCATGGCACGGGATACTGTGCTTTCCATTATAACATGTTCATCAATTCTTCTGCTCTTCTTGTGGACTTCGTACTGATATGTGTGTGCAATTTTGATATTTCCCATCTATTAGCATTATATTGTCGCATGCAAAATTTCTTTATTTTCCTGCTCAAAATTATGATGCACGAAGCGGGACTCCGTTGTCCTTCTACGTTAGAAGGTGGGGGGGAGAGACACGCGTCCTCTTTGCATTCATGACACTTGTGACCGACCGCTGTGGTCTACGTTGTATGCCGTTGATTGGCTGATTTGACGTGTATCGTTCTCGCAATGAAATTGTTGTGTCTACACGTTTTGCATTTTTTGTTTGCCACGGAAGCTAGCGACGAACCCACAGAGGGATGTCATGTGGGGCCTGGTGTTCCTCCAATCGCATGGCAGGTAGGTGGCATAGTAATAGGAGAGTTTTCGTCCTAAATCTTAATGCCTCCAAAATTAAGAGGAAAAAGAAGAGAGCGATTTCGAACCGTGACGAGCTCCCTCGTCTCGGGTGGAGGGGCGAAGATTGTACCATCGATCTGTACTCCATCGTCACCCCCTCCTCGACTTCCTGTTCCCTCCTTCCTCGGCTCCTCGCTTTCGAGTAAACCCCCGAAGCGATGGTGGTGCGGGCCGCCGTGTGGTCCTGCCGCTTCTCTTCTTCTTCCTGTTCCCTCCTTCCTCGGCTCCTCGCTTTCGAGTAAACCCCCGAAGCGATGGTGGTGCGGGCCGCCGTGTGGTCCTGCCGCTTCTCTTCTTCTTCCTGTTCCCTCCTTCCTCGGCTCCCCGCTTTCGAGTAAACCCCCGAAGCGATGGTGGTGCGGGCCGCCGTGTGGTCCTGCCGCTTCTCTTCTTCCGCCTTCTGCTGGCCGGTCTCTTCCGACCAGGGTACTCTTGCATTGTTGTTTCTTGTTTGGTTCGTGATGGGTGATTTTGGTGGATCGTGATTCTTGATTTGAAGCGTCAAATGCGGTGATTTTATTTGTTTGCTCCTGCAATTAACTTAGATTGGTAATTCTGACATCAATGGTTTCTATCATCTTCTTAGTATCTAGTTTTTAGATTTAAAATTTTAAATTAAAATTTATATAATTATAAAAGTGAAACATCTAATTCTATTTATCATAATGTTATTGAAATTATCAACATAAGTATAAAAATAATTGATAAAAAATAATTTTAAAATTTCAATTGATAATGACAGACGACATCAGTGGTGGTGGATGATGGTGCCGTTAGGGGTCGTTGGTGGTTGTTATGGATAAAGAGAGTAGAGTGACGAGAGGTAAGGGTCGCTCTGCATCTGTGTCAACGTTGAGACAATTATCGAGTGGTGAAAGGATCACTCGACATTTACATCGATGCAGATGTAGAGGACAAAAGGGCCACTCAACAACTGTATGATCTATTTTCCTATGATCAATTCAAAATCCATCATGATCTCCTCCATGGAGAGGGAGGTGAAACCTCAGTATCTTTCTCCTCTTTACCACCCACTCCTTGGTTTGTCCTATGGACAGTTGGCACCTTTCGTCGTCCACATGGCTCGTTGAAGTAACGACCTTTGATCTCGTCCACCTTTAGCATCCTCGTCCCTACCACAACCTCCTACGGTATTGTCGTGGCTACCACAACTAGAGCCTCAACCCTGGGTGCTATGCTCAGCATCGCCTTCCTTTTTTTTCTTTTTTTGTAATGTAAGAGGATGAAAGGCAACAAAATAGTAGTATGCGAAAGCGCCACTCGAGGAGGAAAAGGGCACGGAGGACGCTCAATTGATAGCATGCCTAAGATTGCGATGCTTATTTCATTGGCTTCCTTATGTTGATTTTGGAGGAGATTATGTATATGTTGAGCAATCTTTTTACCGCTATGCATCTACATCGATGCTAACACAGTTATCGAGTGGTGTCGCTCTACATTTGTATCGATGCCGATGTAAATGTCGAGCGACACTTTTGCTGCTCGATAATTATATTGACACCGACATAAATGTAGATAAACTCTCACCTCTCGCTATCGCTCTTCTCATCCATAATAGTCACCCGCAGCCCTCAATAGTATCATCGTCCGCCACTACTGATGTTGTCCATCACCACCAATTGAAATGTTGAAATTATCTTTTTACTTATTATTTTTGTGTTTCCGTCGTTATGATAAATATAACTAAATGTTTCATTTTTATAACAATAAGAATTCGAATACAAATGTTTTAAGTCTAGAAACTAAGATGTTACGAAGATCTAATTACATGAATAATCTTTAATTAATCCGTAGTGCATCATCGGGCTTAACGTAGCATCAATTATGTATGGTAATGGGACAATATTATCAAGTGCCCCAATTAACTGCGACGGTTCTTACCTGCAACAAGCTCACCATGAGAGGTAAACTCCAGCTACAAGCAATCTTCTTTTTGTTCTTTTGTAGTCGCATTATGTGAACATATGACAAAAGTTTTTGAACTATTTCATTGGAACACCTTGGAACTATAATTATTTTCAGATCCTAATCATAGAATATACTTTCATTGGCGTCTGCCCTCTTACCAAATCATAAACAATAATGGATGAGTTATTTTTTTTCATATAAATGTACCAAACTTACTGCTTTTCTTTTTGTTATCTTGCAACACATTACTATAATAACAAGCCATAAATTTTAATTATTTAAAGTTTGTTACATAAATCTTTTATCACCATTGAAATCGATAAAAATGTATTTGTTTAGTTAAGTTCAAAATTTTGAAGTCTTTATTTATATTTTTTTATATCTCTTTAGGTCTTTTTTTATCTCTCATTATATTACTAATATTAATCATTTTATTTTTGACCATCGCATCTGAATGTATTTTAAGCACATGCTCATAACATCTTAAATGATTTTATCTCATCTCATCATCTATCGAAGCGAAACATAGTTGTTCATGAATAAAAATATTTATTTTTTTATCTTTTCTATTAACTCTATATATTTATTTCAACATTCTTATCTTAGTAACATAAACTTTTCATATATATTATTTCTTAACTACCTAATACTCATATTCATAAAATATTATTAGCCTCATAACTATCTTCAAAATATTTTCTTTTAATCTTGAAGGTATTTGATGATAATACAAAACTCATGATACCCTTCATCATTTTTATCATTATGTTTTTACTTTATGAATAATATTTTAATCTTGATATCTTTATCATGTTAAATAATTGATCCAAGATATCTAAAGTTTTTACTTAAAGGGATTTTCTGTCCATCCAACTTAATTATATTCTCGTATCTATTTCTAGAATCACAAAGATTATATTTTATACATGTAATCTTAGTCTTACCTAATTTAAAACATTTAATTTCTAATATTTACCTTCATAATCTAAGTTCATAATTAATTCCACTTAGGCTTTTATCAATTAAGATAATATCATTAATAAATAACTAATACTAGAAAGATCTATCATATAAGTTCATTCATTATCAACATGAAAATATACAAATTTAATATGAATATTTGATATATTCCTATGTTATATTATCATACATATTTTTTATAGTTCTAATACTAATAATTATATTATCGTACATGTCATTAATCATACTAGTAATGTCTTGTAACACGCTTGTATATCTTTATATGAATTATTATTGATTTAAAATTTCAACCATGATGTGCCATGAACATGTCTTTGATTATAAAAAAAAAAAACTTTTTTTTGGAGAACAAATCAACCTTTTTTTTTTTTTTTAACTTTGTGACATTGGTGAAAATTTTTGATGAAGTGTTTGCAAAGGTAACAGTAAAAGAATAGAATTTTATACTTAGCATGACTCATCTGCAGGCAGCTCTGCTTCATGTGACAGATTTTACTTAGAACAGAATTGGTACTAAGGATTCATGCCTGTATCAGTATATCTTTTTCCTGCCATGTTTTGTTTGCTGATCTCTGAACACTCAACTTCTTCATCAAGCTGCACATTAGCTCACTTGCCTATCAGATGTCTCACCATGCAAGCAACCACACCTTTCTGTCTCATGCTAGAATAAAGACAAATAATTATTGACATTGATGGAAAGAATAGAAGATAAAGAAGAAGTTTTATTGAAAATAAGAAGCTTTGGCTTGAATACATTAATATGTCCCTCTCCTATTTATACAGATTAAGAGGAGTGTTCCTGTTAAGGATACCAATCTTGGATCGATGTAAAGAATGATTTACGAGCGAGAGACTTCGTGAGTAGAGCAAGAGCATATCGCTGCTGCTGCTGTGATTGTTGTTGCTGTGAGGGCACAGGCGTTCCTTTCGTTCCCCTTAAGTCTGCCCTTCATTCTCCTTAAGTCCGTCAACTATTGGCAGATCAACGAAGACTATCGCGATTAGGAATTTGGTTGCAATGACGTTGGTCGCTGGTCGAAGGCAAGACGAAGACTATCGCGGTGAGGAATTTGGTTGCAATGGCATTGGTCGCTGGCCGAAGGTAAGAGCGAAAACTTCGCTTTTGCTTGAATAGAAGATTTTCCTTAACAGAATAGAGTATTTTTCTTCTATCATACGTTACTCACGGTAGATTGCATGATCCAATAACAGGGTTTCATAAGAAGAGCACTCGATATCGCACTTGCAGTACCAAATACTGTCACATAAAAAGCTTACAGGTATGTATAGTCACAAGGTTGCTTTGCCTTTACTCTGTTCAGATACAAAGCTACTGATTCTGACCAAATGGAACATCAAACTTGAAGGTCAATCTATCACCTCTGCCCAACAAAGTCACTGGTGGTGGGAGCTTTCAGAAACATCCGGTAAGCTGTTTGCTTCACTTGATTAACCCCTTCCCAAATTCCAGGGTACAGTCTGAACCACCTGAAGCCACAGGCATGCCTGTAGAGAGCAGGTATTGACTTTGTGTCTCATACATGGTCACAAAATCAACTTGGATTTACATCCACTTACATACAAGTGCTGTTGAGAATTTTAATTATGGAAACTTACAAAACCTGGTTAGAATATGCACCAGAATAATCATAAGTATCCACATCAACTTTAGTTTAGATGTGGACTTCATTTTTGTGGTTTATCTTGTCCAGGTGTCTAAACACTTATAGGCCAATATGATCACATTTCCTGGATTCTGGGGACACCCATGAGATATCAGATAATGTACTACAAATATAATTAAGGTGCAGTTAAATGCTTCTTGATGAAATCAATGCATAGTGATCATTGAATGCAAACTCTTAACTGGCAGCAGTGAGCTCTAAAATAACACTAGCAGACATCAGCCAAAGAAGTCAACTGGGAAATTTTATGCTGTAAAGAAAAGATGAAGTGGGGATTTGTCTGTGTATTAATTATGGGATGGGAGCTGCTTCTAACTATTTGTATTAAGTACAACGTCACCAACAACAACAACAACAAAAGAATTGCTCGGCTTCATTATTGGGGTTCTTCTAGGAAGAGGAACTCCACCTAATAATTATTTGCCCTTGGGAATCTTGTGGGTTGCGCCATTGACCCATCTCTCACCTCCCATCACATAGATTTGTTCTTCTTGGCCATGGTGGTGGGGACTGGATCTCCGCCCAATTTAAGGAGGAGGTGTGTCGACGACACTCCGCTGCCAAACCTGTCCCTCTCTTCTTCTTCGTATGAACCTTGACTTGGAGGCAACAGATGCATCCTCGCCGGAAAGCATCGATTGTTGCGTCGGGGACGCTCGGCATGAAGCACTCGTCCTTCAGCACCGGCCGGAAGAACGGCAAGTACACCGTCTTCGTCGTGATCTTGTTCTCGGTGTTCCTCTTCTTCTCGTTCACGTACAACGAGGACGTCAAATCGAGCGCTGAGCACCCTTTCGGCGGTGAAGTCAAGTCTGCAGATGTAAGTCGGGAAGACTTCCCCGTGGCTGAGCCGATCGAGATGGAAAACCACCAGGCTACGAGAAGCATGGAGACCGCCACAGGCAACGAAGCTGAAAAGGAGACGACAACGGTGGTGTTGCCGCAGGAGGACGACGTGACAGTGGTCGACGTGGCAGATGCTCACGGAGAGCCAGCGAAGCCCGAGCGGCAACGGGTACTCCTCGACGTGCCGGAGAGCTGCGACCTGTTCACCGGCCGATGGGTCCACGACGACGTGAGCTACCCGGTGTACAAGGAGCAGGAGTGCCAGTTCCTGACGGAGCAGGTGACGTGCATGAGGAACGGCCGGCGGGACGACAGCTACCAGAAGTGGCGGTGGCAGCCCCGGGACTGCTCTTTGCCTCGGTATGCATGTCGACATCACTGTTCATGATCAGTAAGCATATGGTGTGATGTTTCGCTTGTGATGCGAAGATTCGACGCGAGGCTTATGCTGGAGCGGCTGAGGGGGAAGCGTCTCATGTTCGTGGGGGACTCATTGAACCGGAACCAGTGGGAGTCGATGGTGTGCCTCGTCCAATCCGTCGTCCCGCGGGAGAAGAAGACCCTCACCAAGAACGGCTCGCTCAACGTGTTCCGGATCGAGGTAATTAACGTCCAAATCCGTGCCGTCGAGCAAGCAGCGAGTCGGTTTCCAATTCCTCACCACCGTTTCTCGCCGGAGCAGGAATACAACGCCACGGTGGAGTTCTACTGGGCGCCGTTCCTGGTGGAGTCCAACTCCGACGACCCCACCGTGCACAGCATCCTCAACCGCATCATCATGCCCAAATCCATCGGGAGGCACGGCCGGAACTGGAAGAACGTGGATTACCTCGTCTTCAACACCTACATCTGGTGGCTGAACACCCCGACCATGAAAGTCCTGTGAGTAGCAATAGTAGTAGTAGTTCGAGCTGTTCAATTCCTTGAGCACAACAAACGGATTCGATTTCTGTCATCAGGCGAGGATCGTTCGGTAAAGGATCGACGGAGTACGACGAGATCGATCGACCGGTGGCATACAGGCAAGTGTTGAGTACGTGGGCGAATTGGGTGCAGAAGAACGTGGATCCCAACCGGACGACGGTGTTCTTCATGAGCATGTCCCCCAACCACATCAAGTAAGATCAGCAGGAAGAGCTTCTTCTTTTCTTGCATCGAGCTACTTGCGTAGGATAACCAATCAAATGAGATTGAGTGCCCCCGTGCTATCCGCTTACCTGCCCGAGCCGTGCATGAACTCTTGACCTGGGGACCGTTTCCATGGTTTCCTCCACCGACTACAGCCATTCAAACGAAGGCACCTTTAGACGCAGATCGATGTTCCGTGTGCAGTAAACGAGGCGCCATCCACGTTGACCTCTCTACTTGGAAGCTTCATTCTAGATATAATATCCTTTTCCCGGTGTTATTTGCTTGTCGTCTTCCACCCAGGAGCACGGACTGGGACGACCCGGACGGGATCAAGTGCGCGCTCGAGACGCAGCCGGTGGCGAACCTCTCCCACCCGCTCCACGTCGGCACCGACTGGCGGCTGTTCGCGGTGGCGGAGGAGGTCATCAGCAGCAGCATGAGGAGGGTGCCGGCGTCGTTCGTCAAGATCACGGCGATGTCGGAGTACCGCAAGGACGCCCACACCTCCGTGCACACCCTCCGGCAAGGGAAGCTGCTGACGGCGGAGCAGCAGGCCGACCCCGCCACCTACGCCGACTGCATCCACTGGTGCTTGCCGGGGCTCCCCGACACCTGGAACGAGTTCCTCTTCGCCCGCATAGCGTCCAGCCCATGGCGTGACCACTGACCGGCGGCCTCGTGCCTCCCTGCAAATGATCTCTTTCCTCCTCTGTGAGATGTTAACCTCTGTCGAACTACATCTTGCACATGCATTCCTTGCACTGTATGATTATGAGAACGTGGACAAAGAACAAGGAAGAAACAATAGAAGAAATATTAAAGTTCCTTGGCTTTGAACTCTGCCATGCACCTCGACACACCTCCCATCAACCACACCCATTTTGAGACAGATTCGAATAGCACGTCTTAAGGGTGAATTCTCGCCCAAAAAAAAAAACTTTTTTTTTCTTTTTTAAAGATCCCTCATTTTCAGAATTCCCAAATGACGATTTCATTTTACTAATACTTCAAATATCCTTAGTTGCCTACCTCTTTTTTCTCTATAGACCAATTCATAGGATGAATGTCCAGTTATTGTGTTTTTACACTACATCATAGTGTATTCAATAATATAAAAAAAAAGAATACTATATTATAATACTTTTATAAATATATTATAGAATTTTCTTAATATATATTAAGGGCAAATTCTTTAAAAAATATTTTTTTTGGAAGCATACCTTTTTTTTAAAAAAATATAATTCTTTTTTAAATATTTAAAATACCTCTGACCACCTACTTTATATATATATATATATATATATATATATATATATATATATATATATATATATATATATATATATATATATATATCAATTCATAAGATAAATCAGTCTAATTATAATATTTTTACACTACGTTATGATGTTTTCAATAATACAAAAAAATACAATGCTATAATATTCTTCTGGTATTATTAAAAAAATTATAACACAATGTAAAAACACCATGGATTGGAGTTATGGAAAAAATATATTTTAAATATTAAGAGAAATATAATATTATATGAAAATTTTGAAATTAGAGTTATGGAAAAAAAAAAAGTAAAAAAAGAAGAGTATTTTTCAGAACTTCACCCATATATTAATTTCAAATAACTCTCTTGAGACAGAATCCAAAGGACTCTGATTTTGACTCTTACGATTAATCGATATAGACTAAATATGCTCATCAGCTACAAAATAATAGATACATTAATTTCCGTATGATTTATCGGTCACTTACTATTCATACGCGCCGAAGACCACGGTTTGACCCCACGTCTTCGTCCAAGCGGAAGCTGCCTCGCTACTCCCCGCTTCTCCAACGGTCGTCTTTCGGCGTCTTTGGTCCGCCTCTCCCCTCGCTTCCTGTAACGGTCACCTCTGTTGGCCCCATCTGTCACCGTGCCTCCATGCAACCAACTGGTTGTTGACTACACCTCCGTCTGCCCTTTTTTTGTGGACTATGGCTTCTCGGTTCGTAGCCCCGTCGACAGCTTCGTCGCCTCTCGCTCGCAGGTCACCGGACACGAAGTCTCTCCGCTGGCGTTGCGACAGGCATCCGAACCACCCCCCGTCTGCCTTAGCTCACATGTCGACGTGGGTGTTTGGTGTCCGAAGAAAACGAAGAGGTTTCCCTTGAGGAATTTTCTTCCACGCGTTAACGCGGTACCCGCTGGTGTACCCGTTTCCGCAGAGTTCCCGGCCTGTGGATGTGTTCGGGTCAAGCGTGGGTCTTTGCTTCGTTAAAGGGTCGAAGCGACCGTGTCAGCTGTTGGAAAACAGACGGCAGAGGTTTCACATTTTTATACATTAATTTGACTCATAAACGGAGGCTCGGGATCCGGTGCTCCTCCCTCCTTTCTTTTACTTATCCATCATCGGCCAAAAAGCCCTGCCATGATCGAATTCTCGGATAAATCTCAACCATCCACATGCGCGTGTTTCTTTCCCAGGATTAGTTCTCGAGGAATACTTGACCGGGGAGGAGGGGACTATAAATACCGCTGTCCCGAGAACAATTTGTGGAGAGCAGGGGAAATATTGCCGTTCGGGGACGATGTCGTGTTCCGTGGCGATTGCGAGCTCACCGGCGTTCTCGCCTTCTCGCTTATCGATCTCGTGCAAGGGGTCCCCGGAAAACCTGGCCCTGAATCCTTGCTCTCCCTCGGCGTCGCCCCGCTCATGCTCGTCCTCGCCTTTCAGGCCGCAGCGGTTCCAGAGAGCGCCGAGCGGGCTTCGGGAGGTCGGTGCCGGGATCAGCACCTCATCCTCTCCCTCCGGATTGGCTGTTGACGCGCCCTCGTCCTCGTCCCCGCCTCCGTCGAGTTCGGGTGGGTCCTGCTCGGTGTCGAAGAGGAAGAGGCCAGCGCGGATCAATATCCCGTTGGCCAAGGCATTGACTTTTGCGCCCGAGGTGTCTGATGATTGGAGAGAGGTGGAGGCGGAGAGCGCGAGGTATACGGTGTATTGCAAGAGGGGAAGGAAGAGGTTGGTGATGGAGGATCGACATAAGGTGGCGCTGGACCTCAATGGCGACCCCAAACTGGTACGTGCCCTTCTATTGTTTCATTTATCCTTGTTCTATCTCTGCAAGTGCGGTACGTGAAGGGGGAAAGTAAGTATTATAGAAAATCTAGACCAGAGGGGGGAATTTGATTACTCCGGAAGCAAAAAGATGGAATTTTTTGAACGAGGGGGAGTTCAAACAAATCAAAGATGGGGCCTTTCGAGTCTGATCCAATTGTTTGTGACAAATCCCTGAATTCGACGGTACTGGGGCTTGCGGAATTATTGGTCAAAGACAAATACTTGGAATGCCAAATCTTGATTCGGTTGAATTTTCTAAATGTACTCATGACATGATTTCTGTGCTGTCAAAGTTGACTCCTTTTGTTCTTTTCTCTGTGTTCGTAGGCTTTCTTTGGCATTTTTGATGGCCATGGAGGCAAGAGGGCTGCTGAATTCGCTTCCGAGAACTTGGGCGAGTTCATAGCAGAAGAAATGGTGACAACTAGTGGAGCGGGCGCCAACGACGTAGCGAAAGCTGTTAGGATCGGGTACTTGAAAACCGACGCAGAGTTCTTGAAGGAGGAGGCGGATGGAGGCGCTTGCTGCGTCACCGCCCTGCTTAGAGATGGTGATCTTATTGTTTCTAATCTCGGGGATTGCCGTGCTGTGCTGAGCCGAGCCGGTAAAGCAGAGGCCCTCACGTCTGATCACCGACCCTCTCGAGAAGATGAAAGGGACCGAATCGAGAGCCTTGTAAGTGTTGTTTCTCCTTCCTCGATTTTAATCACCCGGTTGTCATAGAGAAACAATTAGCATGAAATTGTTTGCAGAACATAAGAATGTTCTAATCTTATGCAGGATGGTTACGTGGATTACTTCCGAGGAGCATGGCGATTACAAGGTTCCCTTGCCATATCCAGGGCAATCGGAGATTCACATCTCAAACAATGGGTTATACCAGAGCCGGAGACCAGAATCATTAACATCGAAGCAGAATGCGAGTTCTTGATTCTAGCATCGGATGGGCTATGGGACAAGGTATAATCTGACTCCAGGCTATTCCTTTAACAAGACCAGAGAACAAATCTGTCTCATCCCTGCTCTTTCTGAGTAAAGATGACAATATATTTCTCTCAAATGTTTTCAGGTTAGCATTCAGGAGGCTGTAGACGTAGCACGACCATCGTGTATCGACGCTGATAGTGCATCATCATTGTCTGCTTGCAAGAACCTTGTCGATTTATCTGCTAAACGAGGATCATTGGATGATATAAGCGTTATGATTGTGAAGCTGCAGCATTATGTTTGAAATCAAATACCCGATAGCATAAACACACGGCATTTTGTTGGAAAATTGGAGGATGCAAATCTTATGATGACGAATTGCAGCATTTTGGTCGAAAGGATCCGTGTGTTCTTCACTGGCGTTGACTCCTTTGTCAGGGCCATGAAGTTGTGACGAGCATCAACACATCGGAGAAGAATGCTTTTGCACTCATCATCATTGGAATTAGGCATTTTTTTTCAGTTTTATTTTGATTCTTTCGAATTTTACTAACTCACATTGTAATTGACTTTTAGAAAGCAGCCATATTGATATGTAAGATCTAATCTCCTCTTTTGGCTGAAGTCAAACAGTTCTTCTGCTGGACTCAAAACTTGTTCCTTTTGGTTGGCTTAGAAAGACTTGACTACAGAATTCCACACCACAGGGTATCGGATGACCCATGTTTTGGGTGCTAACGGCTGAGCTAGAAATGTCAGATGCGAAGCATCTGCTACCCATCTTGTCTCGATATCGTAGATAGATTCTGTTGGCCATCATAAATGCTATAAACCTGTATGTCAGTGTAACAGCAAACTTGTTGGCCTTTTCTACCTTTTTGCTTTAAATACATCATCCCTTCATCCTATAATTGCCTTTGTTATCTGAAACTATTACATTAATCATATCCAAAGCAAACTGTCAACTAACATACAATCTAACAGAAAATCCAACAAAATGTTGAGTCTCTGTTGATATACCTGAGTTGATTAATGTAATATAATTTTTTTAAATGAAATATTCTATTAAAATATATATCTTAAGTACAACATAGATTTAGAGTCGTCATCACCGGAAACAGTACTGACATGTTCCCGGTTTTTATTGAAAGCAAAGGTCATTCATGACGATACAACACCGACCACGACAACAACGACTAAACAGTGATGTCCTAAGGAAACTTGCTCGCAGTATGGCGGCTGTAGTACAGATATCATGCAGTGGCTGCTCTCACGGAATCACTACGCGGAACGGATTGGGGACTTCAAACCCGGGGTTGGGAACGAAGGTGTCGTCGTTCCCAGGAAGATACTGACCATGAGCAGCCGCCGGGCCACTGTGGTCCAAACCACGAAGCGCAGGCATCTCATGGCTACCGATCTTGTACCGCCCGACGCCGGGGATCAGCACCGTGCCTTCTTGGCCGACGCACTCCGTCTCCTTCTTGTCTGAGTTCGCGGGGACGCTACGTCCGGCGAGGGTGACTTGGGCGAAGGACAACAAGCCCAGGAAGAGGATGACTAGGGGGAGAGAAGAGCAGCTCGAGAAGCTCGCCATGGAGAGAGCGGGAAGCAGCAGAAGAGGAAGAGGTCGGGAGGCGGTACGTTGGTTTGCAATTGGCAGAAGCATGCTTCTTCTTATACAAGCTCGGAGTGGGAAGAGTTAGGTGGCGAGGTGACGGTGATTAAAAGGCGTTGCCAAACCTTCTTGAAGGAGTTGGGGAATGCTTTTACTTGGGAGTAAATTAAGGAGCCTTCCGATCCATCCTACCAACAACTTTTTTAGGCTCATTGATTCCGCCACCATAAAAATTGATGTCAAAATAATTTCACGTTCACCGCCGCCTTGAATTTGCGCAAGCAACACTTGAAACAAAAAAATCACAGTACTATTTTATTTTTATTGTGCTTGAAATTAGTCCCATTTTATGTTTGAATAATGACAAATAAAAGAGTCGCTAGACGAATAATGTTTTATAGATCTACGTGTTAATACATACAAAAGTCTTGCGCACTAAAATTAGGATATTGAGATGTACTTAAGAAATTAATACAAAAATATATATTTTTTATTCTTAAATAAACAGATATCATTAATCATTTAAGACGATATATGCGTATACTCGTAGATACATTAATGAATCGAGAGATACTTTAACAAAAAAATTTTAAATAAAAATATAATAAGATATATGACTTTTTATAAATCTTATTTCCCGTAAAAGATTTATACAATCGACTACAAATAATTGAGACTTTACAATTTTTTTTTTCTAAGACGAACAAATAAAGATAACTTTACTTTGATCAAAATGAGCACAAAGTTCATAATAATTCATTGGGGTAAACAAAATTCCACAAACAAGTGGATTGATAGAATCTCATATGGTTAGCTATCGGATTAGCAGTGATGTTAGCATCCCTATTGTAGCTTCACAGCATCAAAAAAAAGTTCCATCAACTCAGAGAAATCAGTCTCCAGAATTAGCTTTCTTATGCCTCCTTTGCTTGCAATCTGGAGGCCTTTCTTGGCAGCTAAAGCTTCACATTTCACCCAGGAATGTTTCACGAGTGGGGATAGCAGAACCATCTGTATTCATTTTGAATCAGTCTTCATCCATCCGGTATGTGTTTTGCCTTGCCTCCATTCTCCCTTCAGGAGAGGATCTCTCAGAATAGGATAAAGAGAGAGTCTAAAACCTTAGAGAAAAGAGCCACTGTCTGAGGCTGCACACCACTGGATATTACCTCATTTCTAGCTTGCCAACCATTTGCTACAGCAACATCCACTCCCTTTTGTGCTGGAACTGAATTTTCAAGTTAAGCTGAATCAAATTCCAGAACCTGACAGCAAAGAGGCAGCTGAAGAAAGAATGTTGCCAGGAGCCATAATCATCCCCCACAAATCCAACAACAGTGTACCTCCATAATTAATACCCTGTGCAGCAGACGAATTAATTTCCAGCAGAAAGCCATCATCACTTTGGGTGCAACTGGCAATTTCCAAAAGCTATCCTCAGCACTCCGGAAAGTGACCGTCCCTCATCTGTTCCAATTTAATGAACTTGTAGGCAGACTTAACTGAAGGGATGATGATACCATTAGCAGATAGTTTCCACATCCACTGAGGCAAGGCAATCAATCTCACATGTCTGATTACAGATTTCTACCTCAAAAAAATGGTTAAGAAATCTTCAACCATATCAAATTGAGTAAGAAGATAAGAACATCAAAATTACTTACTAGAATTAGGTGATCAGTAGCATCAACAAACAGTTTTTAGCTCCGACTAGAACACTAGAATTAGACCAAGGGTTAAAACAACCATACTTAGCATGCACAACTTGAGACCAAAGAGACAGACAGTATTTTTGTTCAGGTAAACCATAATTCTTTTAATTTGTAAGTCTTTAATGCCAAGGCCACCTTTATCTTTATCTTTAGGAAGGCTTACCCTACTATCATGATCCTTCTCCCAAAGAAAACGTTTGATGATTTGCTCAATCCTACCTTGGACATGCTTAGGCGTTCGAGACATACTTAAGGAATGTCTTGGAATAGAAGAGCAAGCAGCAAATTTGCTCTCTTACGAAGAATGGCAGTCACATAGCATTGAAAATAATTACAATATCTATTTTATTTCATGATTTATTTTCTGTTAAATTATGATTCACGCTATGTTGTGTGCCAAATGATTTTGGATAACATCATCGAAAATAATATAGAAGATTTTAAATTAGGATTAAATACTTTGGACTTGTCTATGTCCCATCTTTATTACTTATCTTTTATAAAATAAAAATAAAAATTAATATAATTTTTTTTTTCTCAAAAATTATTCTAATTTAGATGAATTTGTCATTAGTGACCAACAGAGGGTTCGACCAATTAAGCTAAAAATTATAAATCAATTATAACCCAAAATAATAATAATTGCTGGATTTTCCGACGTGCCCAACTTTGACAGCTGCATCAACTTCCTTCCGTAAAATAATAATTGTGATCTGATGTTTTGATTCGACGTCATCATAAGGCAACCACTCCACCGAACACTTACGTCTCCGATCATTGGATACGTTAAGAGCCTTAAATATATCGCCGAAGCTCTAAATATCCCCCAAAGAATTCTATTGAAATTTCCTCTGTACACTAATTATTTTAAGTGTATTTAAATTCGACTAAGTATATAAACTTAAATTGTTATTAGTGACATGGCGCCATCCACGCGCACTCCGTACGCGCGTAGCCAAAAAATCTATCGTCTCTGATTCTCTTCCTTCGACTTATGTGGCTCCTCATCCGACGGCTCAGATGCTCCCACCACCCAGCGCGTAAGAGCCGGCGTAGGAAAAACGCGTTACTGAAAGGGGTTCTTCTTTCCTCTATTCTCCGGAACCCTATTGGACGAATTTGTTGGAGGCGTCTCGTTTCCCCACGTGTCCGGAACTCGAGAACCATCTCGACTTCGCGAAGGCACCCGACCCGCCGTGGCCTCCGTTATAATGCTCGCGCTCCCACCGTCAGCTTCGAGAATCGTCTTCGTCGATTCAAGAATTGTGGGCTTCAGGAGTTCGATCGCCCGCTCGCGGCGTCAATGAATCTCTCATTTTTCGTCCTAGTAATCCTCTTCTTATCACGGCCAGCCCAATCCGTGGATCCTTACAAGGTACCCTACTTTCTCCTTCTTGGGTTCGTTCTTGTGCCTCTAGGTTTAGGTTTATGGTTGCCACATCTGGAGTCGATTCAACTCCTCTTTTTTCGTCTATTGCATTTGCGCGTCGCATCAATGGTATGTCTAAGGAAATATGTCGGCAAATCTTGGTCTGGGAAGTGCAAGCTTTCGAAAACTTGGTTCGAGTGGCAAGAAAGATAGGTTGCCGAAGATTCTGTTCTTGTTCAACCGACAATCTTCACGCTTAACAGTAGAATCGAACTTTTACTTATCTCATGTATATATAATTCTTTTTAGATTAAATGGGTGATGTAGCTGACATCAAAATTGAAATAATTCTTCATCCTAAATTTGAATCTTCACTTGAGAACATTTATAATCTTGGGGAAATGGGGGTTTTCAGTTAGTCCGGTTGTTCTCTACGTAAGGAGTTTTCTTTCATAGGATACACTAGCAATGCAGCTATTGAAAGGGTTTTCGATGTTTGCGCATTAGATCTTGAAGATAGGATATCCATGGGAAATTTGCATTGATGTGGATAAATTAACAATCGAAAGACAAAATTTTGAGTACTGTGTTTGCCTAGTCATTTTTAGACCCACTTCTTCCATTCTTCTGTTACTGTCGTCTACATTTCACTGCAATTTCAGAACATCTGAAAATTACTCTTGTTACCTATTACTGTCTCACTGATCCTTATTTAAAGTGTGTACAAATCATAGGTGTTTATTAGTGATATGCCCCTTGTTTTTTTTATTATCTACTTGAATCTTGAAAGCATGTTAAACTGTTACGAAGGCAGTTTATATGGGAACAACCAAAAAAGGGACTGAGATGGATGCATAGCAGAAACTTTAGAAAACTACGTAAAATGCTTCATGTAATTTTTTTTATTTTTTCCATATATAAATATGTAAAGTTGTTTAAATTAGTGAAGAGAGTTAAGGGTTATGATAAGTATTTTTCAGTGGTCGGTATGATAAATGGTAAACATTTCCAATTTGCAAAGCTATTGATGCTTGGTAGGGTGGATGAACTGGATTGTTGGACAACACTAGCAGTCTTCATCTGAAAAACATGTTGTTATTAGTAGCTCTTACTACTGCATTAAATTGAAGATTGATAAGGTATTCAAGTTGTCATAATGCTTTTGTATGCTTAGTTTCTTGCTATTGTTTTGAGCTACTTAACACTTTTCACAACAGTAATGCCGAAAGAGTTTCCTGTTGCATTAGGCCTTAATCAGCTTTGGTTGTGGAGACCTTTTTTTCTTCTTTGCTGATTCTATTAATTATTGCATGCTGTATTTTTCTTTCCCTGTTTGAGCAGATATATGTCATGATACAATATTCTACGCACATTTTGTTTTCCAGTCGTGTTTTTTACCTGGTTATGACCTACTATTTCTCCTTCCAGGTTCTCGGGGTTGATAAAAGTGCTAGTCAGCGTGATATTCAAAAAGCCTTTCACAAGTATGTGCTGCTGACATCCTATGTTAATGAAATTCAGTTGTTGAGATCCTTTTGTTTTGATTCCTATGCTTTTTTTTTAAATTATGCAGGCTGTCTCTTAAATATCACCCTGATAAGAATAAAAGTAAGGGTGCACAGGAAAAATTTGCGGAGATAAATAATGGTAATTTACTAATTTGTCTTTCATTACAGTTTTTCAATGATGAAATTCTACTACTCATTTTCCTTGTCTGAAGCCTTATGCAAAACTGTAATCATCAATCTTTATGAGTATTTTTTTCCCCTCTGATGTTGATTAGTTGAGTGTCTATTCTGAATGTTGATTGAACTTTCCTGGGCAACACAACCTTGAAGAGGAGAACATCCAAGTATTACTTGCTTTTTCTTATCACTTGCTTTTTATCCTTCCCTCCTCTTTTGAATAGTCTTCTTTTTTGATGCACATAATAAGGTAAACTGGCCCTACTCAGTTATTTAGATATATCA